ATCAGAAAATCATGTTTGTCTTTAGCACATGATAGCTTCTTATATTTTCTACTAGAGCAGCAGTTCTCAACCTGTGGGTTGCAACCCTTTCACAGGGGTCGCCTAAGACCATTGGAAAACATATTTTCGATGGTCTTAGGAACCAAGACACCGCTCCTCTATCCGTCTCCAGGCGGGTCCACCCATATGCAGATACGCTCACATATGAGTACCCGGCATATTAAAGGGTTGAGGCATTAGGAAAGTTGAGAACCACTGCACTACACCATTAACAAGAAATAATCTTTTCATAAAAAGTTCTCCTATGTAGTAATAAGTTGCTCAAACTAACAACAGTATTTCCTTAAAAAGCTTTAAAAGGATAGTAAAAATATACTGGCTACAAACATTTATCAATTTACTACTGTTCTGAAAATACTAAAAAAAAAAAACGTTAAGTACATCTTTTTTAAAAAAAAGACCAATAATATAAGCACAAAATACAAACAACTACCTCTTTGTGCAAGTAAAAATTTTAATTTAATTGTAATCCTTAATGATATTAAATCTACTAGATATGACTTTTTCCAAAACCTTTCTATTTTATTAGCTCTTAGTTAAATGTGATTTTTCGCCTGCAAGTTAAATTTTTATATATGCAATTAATAATTTTCTTTCTATTTAAATCCTGACCGAGGTTTACAGGACCCTAAAAGTCTTTGAAATAGGTATTTGTGTGCAATCAGCACGGTTTCAGTTTTCAGAAGACACCCCATGAAACTGGGGGAAAGGGAGGGAACAGGGTGTAAGTAGGAAATCAAATTGAGTTCGCACCAGAGAATCCGAGTCTCTGTGTTACTTAAAAAGACAAAAACAAACAAACAAACAAACAAAACACCACCCTGGGTAGGCGACTTCAAGCAGGAAATGGAAAGGCCTTCTCTTCACCAGGGCAGCACTCGCACAGGGTCAGAGGGAGGGATGTACACTCTGCTCGCCATACACACAGCCCGCCCGCACACGCGGGGCCGCCGCCCGCCGCCCACTGATGTCCGCCAGAACGCGGGCACGGAGTGCGCACTGGGCCTGGCGGCCGAG